GATTGACCCTAGGATTACGTTGGTGGATCCATTTAAAAAAAAAAATAAAAGACTTGTCAAAAACATGTATTTGTTTTTTTTTTTCAATTAAAAGATTTTTTCTAAAGTTTTTCTTTACAATTTATTTTAACCCTTTAGTGAATGGGTAGTGGTACAAGTACCCCTTACTCATTCACAAGGGGGGGGAGGGGGCTCATCTGGGATAAAGTTCTAACTCGAACCGAACTCGGGTGAGTTTGGCCCATCACTAGTTTTCAAGTACATATTACTGGTATGACAGATCTTAGCTGTCACTTTCCTGTAAAATCTAGTATTACAGCATAATAATGACATAAAATGATTTAGGGGTTATTCACGAAGGACCCGAAGGATCCAGCCGTAGCTTCGGCTGATCCTTCAGCTTTCTTCGGCCGCCAAAAAAGTCAAGTATTCTCACTATTTGCTATCATCAACCAAGCCCTGATGAAGGGGGTTATTGAGCCCCCGAAATGCATTGACTTTCTCATGTGACATTTACCAAGTGAAATAAAGATTTACTGGATTTACAGTATAGTGTACGTGTGGTGCTCTCACTTTCTCCACACTTTTTACCAGAAAGGGAGGAATAATGACTTTAGATTGCATTGAACTAGCAGATTCAACATCAGTACACGTTACTTTAGAACTTAAACTAGAACTTAAATAGGAGCATTGAAATAGGAGATTCGGTACATGCTAACAGCTAACTGCGGTGTATGTAATTTCTGTTATAAAACCTGTCTCCTTCAGGTTAAAAGTCATTTATTTCTAGGGATGAGCTTTGGGTTTGAGTTGACTATGAGTTTTACTTGAACCCAAGTTGTTTGCAGTTGGAGAATATGGTGAACGATTCCAATCCGTCAGTGTCATAGCGATCAATCACCTATTATGCACTTTCTGGCCTCTGAACTGTGGTCAGTTGGCTTTAAAGGCCAATCATGGTGGTTTTCTTATTTGTCAGGCTCCTCCTTATAGGTGTCAGGGTTCCCTACAGTCTTTGTTCAGCGTGTGTTAGAGGAGACAGGGAGTTGTTAGGCACAGATCACAGCTTGCAGGGAAAGTTGGAAAATAGCATGGAACGTTGCATAAGTTCTGGGCTGCTTGGGGGGACTGGTGATTTCAAAGAGTCACCTCCTGTGGCCATTGAGTAAAAGGGGGAGAGGTGACCATGCTGTTACTGTCATGAAGGTGCAGGACACAGTGTAGCACCACCAGCTTCAGCACTGAGCTCCATCCAGCATTCTTCACAGCCTTCAATAAAATTGTCCAGTGTGCTGTGAAGATAAATATACTGTTCCTGCCCATGCTTGCTGGACCATGTGTCTGTGGTCATGTAGACCTTGCTGCTGACAGCGGGGTCCAGAGAAATTTGGCATTGCACATACTGGTGGAGGGCAGGGTATCTGCCACTGTGGTGCAGCTCAGGCTATAAACATACAGAAGGGAACCAACTCAACCAGATGGAATGGAAGCAGGTGTAAAGTCAGCAGTTTTGCGAAGCTGGCATTGAGACCCTGGGCATTGGGATGAGTAGGGGATATGGTTTCTTCTGCTCCAACAGCTGGAGAAAAGACACCTGGTCAAAGATGTTGCTGGGGGTGTGGGTTAGGAGATTTACAGTGAGGTTCAAGCCTATGCCTGCCCCTACTCAACATGACCCTATGCTGACACATTTCCCTGCTTGATTTGCTATAAATTAAGCCTCTCAAACCCTTTGCCAGACTTGTAAAAAAGGCAGGATATGCAACCTATGCTGCTAAACTAGTTCACAGCTTATATAAGGGGGAGCACTTTGGCATTTTTACTTTGGGAGCTTAAGGACCTTGACCTAACTCTGAGTGTGGATATTTTGGTACCCAAATGGCTGGTACTTTAACTACAGCTAACACACTGCAGGCAGAGGCTGCAGATCACGACAGTCCTGTAGAAAGCAGAAAACTCTTTCAATTGCTGCCTATTCAAGTGCTCAGATACTGTCCTGATTATTTCTATCCTGACAATTCCTACCAAAGACATGCCTGGAAATTAATGTTTTGAATATAATTGGACAAAGGGTGAAGTGTTTTGGTTTTGTGAGCCACTCGATCACGATGATTGAGTGGCATGATTGAGTGGCATGAGAGAGCGGTGGTCGGGGTAGAGATCAGAGCCGCTGCCATCCTGTCAGTTTCAGGATGACAGCGGCTGTGTGCATGGTCGAGCAGAGGATCGGTAAATATCAGTGACATTCACCGATCCTCTGTGTGAAGGACAAACACTGTGGAGTGATCTCTGATCACTCTAATGTTTGTAAATAACTGGGGACACATAGTACTACGTGTCCCCAGTTATGAATGAACAGGATGTGATTTACTAACTCACACACTTGGCCAATGTATATATACCAAACTAGATGGAAAAATGGTCATATAAAGCAGACCTTGCATTTAAATTGCAAGCGCCTCTTATTTAGGCATCTTCCCCATCCTAAAATACTGCATAAATATGGAGAAAAACATCAATATACTTACTTTACTTAAGCGCCTCTGGCACAAGCGAGGGTGACATCAGCATCCTTTGGGCAATATTGCAGGGAATACTGAGTAGCCCAAATCTTGCACTAAGATGCTACTGCACTGTCCCCAGGATATCACCCAAACGTTGCTGACATCTTAAATGACATACTTGTCATTCAGATTTGGGCATAAATGAACCATAATTAACTTTGTGGGGATATTTCTGCTTGTTTTGATAATGAATACTGAAATAATGCTACAACAATGGTGATAGAATTTGCACAAAAATATTGCTGGGTGTCTTATTTTACCAAGGAGTACTGTTCATAGTGTTCCAGTGTGTGCATAAGATGTTCTATCAGCAGTACGGGTAGCCCATTTTGTAGTAGCAGACCAGCTGGAAGAGGTGGCAGTAACAGATTGCGCAGGGCTCACAACAAGGTGGTGCAGGAGATTTACAGCTAGACTGAAGCGGTACACAATTTGAAGGTGGGGGTGGGTGTTTCTTCTTTTTGGGAACAGCTTTCCGCTGCAAGACAAAGAATATTATCAACATTAGAACAAATTCTAGCCATTAAAGTATAGCTATAACAAAACCTTTTTTTTAGGTTTGGATAGAGTGCTGATTGTTTAAAACCCCTGTCAGTTTTTTTTTTCCTGCCCATTGTGTCCCATTGGGGCGATGTCCCTTTACTCACTATCCCAGAAACACAATGGGAATTGAGAGGAAATCCCTCTAAAGTGAGGGGAAGTTCCCTCTTAGACAGCTGTCACCGGAACAGGTGCCACCATTGCAACATTTTTTAAACAACTATTAAACTTTGGATTCCCCACCACTTTTTTTTCCCAATGACAAAAGTCACCAAAAGGAGAAGGTGAATATCCCCAGCATGGAAACAACATTGAAATGGGTTGCAATCCTATATAATACCTATAGATACATTTTAACTGAAAGAACATATGATACAAATGATGTATGCAGGTTACCATTGCTGACCTATTAAAAATTCTTGTTGCCTGGCTGACATGTTGATCCTTTGGCTTCATTGATCCTGACTAGTGCTGGGCCGAATAGGCCCGAGTTCGGTTCCTATTCGAAGATTCGAACGTCCGAAAAGTTTGAATTCAAACTCGAACTCAATGCAAGTCAATGGGTGTAGAACTTTTAGAAAAGATTGTCCCCTTTAAGAGGGCTTATATGCAAGTAATTGGCCATAAAAAGTGTATGGGGGTCCGGGTACTGCGCTAGGGGACAGGAATCAATGGAAAAAAAAAAACAACAAAAAAAGTTTTTAAAGGAGCAGTGATTTTTACATCACTTAAAGAATAAGAATAAAAATGAAAAATTCCTTCAAATATCGTGCCTGGCGGGTCCCCATAAACTGCCTGTGATGTGGCAGATCTGTACGATGTATAGAACTCTGATATAGAACGCTGTATACAACTCTGATATAGAACGCTGTATACAACTCTGATATAGAACGCCGTATACAACTCTGATATAGAACGGTGTTTACAACTCTGATATAGAATGCTGTATACAACTCTGATGTAGAACGCTGTATACAACTCTGGTATAGAGCACTGTATACAATTAAGATATAGAATGCTGTATACAACTCTGATATAGAACGCTGTATACAACTCTGATATAGAACGCCGTATACAACTCTGATATAGAACGGTGTTTACAACTCTGATATAGAATGCTGTATACAACTCTGATGTAGAACGCTGTATACAACTCTGGTATAGAGCACTGTATACAATTAAGATATAGAATGCTGTATACAACTCTGATATAGAACGCTGTATACAACTCTGATATAGAACTCTGATATAAAACGCTGTATACAACTCTGATATAGAACTCTGCTACAGAACTCTGCTATAGAACTCTGCTACAAACCTCTGCTATCGATTCTCTCTCTTTTAACTCCTGCAACACACTACGTAAGGCTGCGGGGTAAGCCTCTACCTAATTAGAGCTTCGGAAGGTGCATTGCCTTGTGGGATGTTGTGCGGTCGAAAAGACAGCGAACATCCCACAAAATGCTTGCGTTCGGTGAGCGCTCGAACTAGCGATGTTCAAGTCAAACTCATGTTCGACTCGAACATACAGCTCATCCCTAATCCTGACCAGCCATGCAGTAAGTAAAGTTGTAAATAAAGCATATCTCCAGGCTAATATATAAATTAACATGGTTTAAGAACAATACAATACATGTTTAATGATACTAGCTCTTTATTTTACTTGCATTTGCATCCATATAAAATGACTTGTCTATCCTGTCAGTTCCTTGCCATTCACAGGATTTTCAGCAGCGTGCCACAACATTTGCTATAGCTACAGCTTTGCTTACATGGCTCAATTCCAGCAGCATTTACTTACTTTTCCTATAGTCCCTCACTGCCCCTTTCAGCATCAGGGGCCAAAGAAATACCTTTTTAATTATGGAGCAGCTTGTGACTATCAGCATGTGACTAACTCCATGTAACAGCGGCTGGCAAATAAGCACTGTCACATGGTTTGTATAGCTAGGGTTGCCACCTTTTCTTCAAGTGAAACCCGAACACTCTAGCGCCACGTCGGTTAAATTTTATTTTTTGAGAATATAGAGGAGAGAGCGAGGAGAGGCAGCCAGGAGAAAGAGCAAGAAGAGACAGCTAGGGGATAGAGTAAGGAGACTCGCTATAGAGGACTACAAATCCCAGCAATACATTATACAGCAATACAAAATATGAGAAAAAAGCACAGTGGATGGCTTTCCTAATGCAGACGGGTTTATTCAGATTAAAAACAATAGATGAGAAATATACTCACAAGGATAAAATGAAATAAAGCTTTGTATAACAATACATGGACCAAGCAGTAAGCAGATAACAGCTGCACAGACTATGTGCACTCTCAGGTGGGCTATAAGCACTCTCAGATGGATGTGTAGGGTCTCCGAGGGGCTAGGCAGACTCTAAGGTGGGCTATGCGGGCTCTCAGATTGCTGTGTGAGGTCTCAGGTGGGCCATGCAGGCTCTCACATGGCGGTGTGGGATCTCAGGTGGTCTATGCGGGCTCTCAGATGGCTGTGTCAGCTGGCCTGGCACCTAGACACAAGACTCAAAAACCGGACTGTCCGGGTGAATCCCGGACAGGTGGCAACCCTATCTATAGCCCCCGTGTAAGCTTTAAATCTGATGACAAATAGCTTACATAAAACGTTTACTCCTGGGAGCAAAAGAAAGGTAAGTATATATTGCTGGGGTTGGCTAAACTAAAGTAAACCTGTTGTATAGGCAATCACGGGTTCACTTTAAAATCACACGGCACTCCTTGTGTGACCTAATGCACATCTAGAAAAATGTCCAGACTTAATCTACTGAATGAATCAGCATCATGTTTTTTTGTGCTACATTTTATTACTCTGTATTCATCATGTTATATTATGGAGGAATTTGGGACAGATTGTATTAAAAAAATAATAGATTAGTCATTTATGTGGATTTAATAAAGGAAGAGAGTCATTTTATTAAGCTTTTGGAATATGCAAGCAATTACCTTGGCCAGTTTATTTCTTTCTGCATCCACCCTGCTCACTCTTCGAGACGACTTTGTTAAATCTGTGGGATAGGAAGAAAGAGGGAACTGTCATGTTGGCCATAAAAACACCCTCTCTTTCCTACCCTAATAGCTATTTTCGAGGATGCCCTAATGTAGGTGACGTTATGCACATTTGGTGAACCTGCTCTTTTGTAGCCCGCTTTGGTCCAAAATTCATAGACTCCTTTATACTATCTCCCACATATCAATACCAAAAGATCCTTGGCAGGCTTTACTACACTACAGAATACCGCAACCTAATTAGTCGCAATGGTAATTGGCAAATTATATTTTGCTTGCAGCCAAACAGACTATAGGTTATTCATGGAAAAAACAGGCCATTCCCTACGCTGAATTCAATCAACGTATGTGTAGCGCCCTCTAAAATGTCGCTATTCAATTTAGAGATACCTGGACTGTAACCAGTCTAGATACTGATTATACAGAGCTCTGCATTCTATAGGTGTCCCTGAATCTGCTGGATTGATTGCTCCTCCTGTTGCTGAGGAAAAGGGAGCCTTAGCATACAGTGAGGGAGGATCCATCCTCAGATTATGACTATGCAACTGACCCTAGCCAATCCCTGAGTAGGATGACTCAGAGGCATGGTTAAGGGCAGGTAATAAAAGGTCTGGGGACACTGTGCAGAGGTCTCTTCCCCCTAGGGGCCTCGCCCTAGGAGGTCTGTGTGATGCAGCAAATGGCCTGGGCCTCAGCACATGGCAGGTGCTGAGGGGCCTGGAGGCCTAGGATACACCGATGCTTTGCTGGGCCCATACACTTGGCAGGTGATGGGTGCCTTGTTCTAAGAAGATACTACCACTAACCTGGAGTGCTCCTTGGCAGTTGCAGATGCTGAGGGCACAGAGATTCCAGATCATGAAGAGGAAAATACCTGATGGAAGCTGGGTCGGAGGGAGAGTCTGCTTGTTGAAGACTACCGCAGAGGAGCTGGTGCGAGCGTCCGTCTGGGACCCACAAGGGAGATCCCTCACCCTATTCCAGGTATTCGTTCGAGTAGAAGCCAGGGGTCCTTACCTAAGTCCAGAGATAGCTAACCTTCTCCATATAAGTTACTGGATCATCCTGGCTGTTGCAGTATTACTACTACTATCGGTCCTTGGTACTAGGTCACAGTGATATCGGCCTTAGCTGTTGCTAAGGGAGAAAGCTGTCCTCTGAAGAATCCAAGGGCATCCTACAGACCCTAAACCCTCTCTCTCCTGTTGAGCTTACAAATAAATACCCCAAAAAGACCCTAAGACTTGAGCCATTCTGTCCATGAGTGTCGGTGTGCTGTTGCTGATCAAAGGGGACCGGTAGCTGGAACCAACAGGTAGGAGAACCCATTTCATACTCAGCGGCTCCTTCGGGGGTGAGTGCTACATATGCAAGGGTTTTTCATGAATGAACACCTCTCTAGTATTCTCACTTATACTGGTAATACATTTCGTAAGATATGAGACCCGTGGTCTTCTGTTTTTGTTTCAACCTGGGACCTTGTGACACCTAGGGGTTGATTTACTAACCTTATAAACACACCACGAACGTGTATACACCTCTGCAGTGTGTTCCCTCCCAGCATGATCTATGGGTGGAATCTAAACACCTTTGTAATGTGTACACACCCAGCAGGTGTGTTGTGCAAAGCCCTGAATGAATTCCAAGGTGATGTTGGGTAAATTAGCTCTATGTTGTGTTGCTTGCGTTGATGAATGCAAGGAATGTAAATGCATGAGCTAACCATTTTTGTCTAAACTGTGAAGCAGCATTATATATGCATCATGTGCATGATTTTTCCATATATGGCATTAGTGGAAATATGCTTTTAGAGACTTTTTGGTTGATAAATACGTTTTGCTGTGTGAAAATCACACACACCTGGTGTGTGTGTGTGTTTAGGTTAGTAAATCACCCCCCCTGTCCTCATTCAGTAACCGGTATCTTGGAGCACCCAGGTGGCAGTCACCAACGCTTCCTTCTCTTCTTCCCTCTCTCTTCTCTAACCTTCGTTCCTGCTACTCCTTTATTCTCTATCTCCTCTACTTTTTTCTCTTACTTTTCTCCCCCCTCTCTGATAGATCTACTGCTTCAAATTTGGTTTTGCCCCCCCTAAGTTCTATCATATCTGTTCTACAGTGAACTGCTTGCTTCCCTGTCCCTTCTTCCCTTCCCTTCCCTTTCCACTTATACCCCTTTATGATGTTGTTTATTGTCTAACATCTAGGTGACACACTGATTTAGCTAATTGTTGCAATTTGTGTATTTTATACTCAGAAAAATGTAATAAAACATATTGAAATGGAAAAAACAAAACAAAACCCCCCTCTCTTTTTTTTTTTTTTTGCAAAACCCCACATGCTCACATTGTACATGTGTGTGTTAGTATTTGTTTGTAAGACAGTCCTAAATGTGGGACTGTGGATGTAATTGGGACTGTAATCTACTGGTCATAACATTCCCTAAAAGGCCTATAGACTGTTTTCCTTGTTGGCTATGTGTTTAGATGAAGCACCAAGATCTTGAGAAATGTTTCTATACAGCATTTGCATGTCATGAGCATTTGGCAGGGCAGTGTGCTTATATCTTCTGATAAGCCTCTCTTTATAATGTCTTTTATGGCTTCTGGGTTTTGGTGACCTAGTCGTCTGTGCCGTAGATGGATACATTTGTTGTGTGAATTATGAGTGGCTAAACAAATTGCAAACGCACTCATCAATTTGTTACCAGCTTTACAGCAA